TCACGAGCGAGTAAAAAACCCCATGGAACTCGCCCTGAAATTTACTTGTTCATCGCGCTGTGCGAAAAAGTAACTTTTTAGGCACGCTTCGGGCACGTCCCTTTTCCACACATTGTGATGAAAAATATCGTTCGATACTCGTGGGAAAAGTGTTTTTTGGCTCGTGGGGGGTTTATACCACGAGCCGAACGCGAGTCCCAAAAAACTCTTTTCCGCACTCGTAACGAAATATACTATTTTGTTACTGCTGCTACGTTCACCTCGTGCCGAAATACTAGTGACTACTATTTACGCACCCTCTGCGTAACGCACTTCATACGCATTGTGATGAAAAATGGCGTCAAACGCTCCAAAAAAAGTTTTTTTGATTTGTGGGAGGTGATGGGCGCTCGCCGACAGCGAGCTCCTGCTGTTTTTCTTCACAATGTGTGTGAAGAGAGATTTCTGTCCCAGCGTACGTAAAATGTTACCTCACAGACCGCGCGGTCAAATATACTATTCTGGTATTTTCCACTAAACCCATCAGATCTCGAGACACTCTTCAAATAAACCGTACAAAATGATTCAATTCGTCTCTTTTCGCTATTCTCCACTACCAAACTCCATTGATCAATAAAAATGCTGGCATATTTATCCAATAGATAAGACTATAATTAATTAATTTTAATCAATTTTTTTAGTGAACAAAAAAAAGTATCGAAATAAGAAATGAATCAAAAGATATAAGAAATGTATAATTTGAGGATAAAAATGTAAAACCGCCTGATGGTACAATAATATCCATGACCATGGCTAAAATACTCCCCGGACCTTTCTCACTGTCTCCAAAAGCTCGCGTTCCAAAAGGAAGAAGCATACCGAGGTCATCGTCCCGAAATTTCGACGCAGTTATATCCATATTTTTATTTACCACTTTGTGCCACAACAAAACGAGTGCCGTTGGCGCAACGTTAAGACAGTTAAGGACTCGTGGGAGACGAAAAAAATAAAGGGAATTGCGCTCGTAAATACTGGAGAGGAAAAAAGCAGAAATTGTGGGAATCTTGATGGTCCAGACACGTGGACTCCTGAGCTGGGGGGGAAGTGCGGCTGGGGATTTCCCTCACCTTGGATCTCGACACTTTTTGGCACGAGCTTGAGCTTTGTGCGTGTTACCGATTCAGTTCTCGGAACGGTGTTATTAGAAAATAGATTTTAACATTATTTTACAAATATTTCCCCAACTAATGGGTTTAGAGGAAAATGCCAGAAGAAGTTTTTTGTAGAAAATGTAATGAGCTACAAAAAAGTTTTTTATGTATTTTTTATGGACCCATTAGTTCCGGAGATAATAGCGATGTTAAGTTGTTCATGTTTAATCATTAAATTTATTACTATTTTTGAAACATTAAGAAAAAATATTTTTTATAGGAAATTTGAGGGGCTACAGAAAATATTTTTTTATGCTTTTTCTGAATCATTTGGACAGAGCTGTTGACAAAAGCAATTGACCCCGAAATTTTATCTAGACTATTTTGAGAATATTCAGAGAACTACTGAATTTATTGAATAACCCCAGAAAATATTTTTTGCACTAAAAAAAATTGACTAATATTTTTTGTTATTTTCTTTTTAACCCCGAAAATAGTATATTACGGTACTGGGCCCCATAAACCGCAATTGCTACCTTGCTTCGCTCGGTTAGATCTCGCTTTTCGGGCCCAGTGACATAGAAAATTGTATGTCACCCGGCGATAAAAGTATTATCCGACTAATGTGATTATAATCCTCGACTTCGGCTCGGCTTATAAATACTTATCGCCTGATGACATAATGTGCTATTTCATCACACTGTGCGAAAAAGTAACTTTTCTGTACTGCTTCTCACGATTTCTCGTCTGGGCATTGGTATTACATACTTCCCAAACTCGAAAACTTGAAAATCACTGCAGAAAAATATTGTTCCTAGGCTGTTGCGATGGGGTTTTTTTACTCGTGTGGTTGGCCAGCCCTCGCCTATGGCTCGGAGGCCAACGCCACACGAGTAAAAAACCCCATCGCAACAGGCCGGAAAAATACTATTTTAGGCTCGCTTCCCGTCCCTTTTCCACACATTGTGATGAAAAATATCGTTCGATACTCGTGGGAAAAGTGTTTTTTGGCTCGTGGGAGGTCTATAGCACGAGCCGAAGGCGAGTGATATAATCCCACGAACTCTTTTCCGCACTCGTAACGAAATATACTATTTCAATACTAGGGGGTAAAAATCCACTTTTTCGCACGCACATGTAACATCCTATTTTTGTGATATCTGCCGAGTTCGCAGTTCGAAACGGCAGTGGGACTCAAGTGCCTGTCTTTGTGCACGAATGCGTAAATTTCAAGAGCGTGCGCAAAGCTTCCACTTTCCGTACGCCGTGCGGAAAACAACCGCTTTACGCACACTAAACCGCTTCGAAAAGTGCACTTCTTACGGAGGTATTACAAAAAATAGGATGTGTTACCCGTGCGAAAAAGTGGAACTTTATGTACTAATAACACAATATACTATTTTTGGCTCATGGGATTATATCACTCGCCTTCGGCTCGTGCTATAAACCTTCCACGAGCCAAAAACACTTCTCCCACGAGTATCGAACGATATTTTTCATCACAGTGTGGAAAAGGGACGTTTTAGGCACGCGAAGGGTGCCTAAAAAGTTACTTTTTCGCACACTGTGATGAAAAGTATTTTTGACGCATGGGAGGACTGCAGCGCTCTCCGAAGGCGAGTGCTACCCGCCCAAGGGTCAAAGAACACTTTTCCCACGAGTATCGAACGATATTTTTCATCACAATGTGTGGAAAAGGGACGTTTTAGGCACGCGAAGGGTGTCTAAAATTTCCCTTTCCACACAACTGATGAAATAAGATTCCTCGTGGCCCTCTAAAAAAAATAAAAGTTCTCGTGAACTTCTCTAGAATTTGTTTCTCCGTAAATCCTCAAAATTCCACCTTCCCCTTCCGCAAATATCTCCCCAATTTCTAGGTTTCCATCAAGAACCCAGAGACATTCTTCGTAGCCCTCGAAATTCCCCAAAGACCTCTCTTTTGACATTTTCCCCTAGACCCTTCCCCTCTCCGCAGTCCCCAAAAATAATCGTCAAACCCACTTTGCACGCGCCCATTGGCTCTCCTCCCCTCCCCCCACACGACACGACGAATCTCTGAAGAAACTTATTAAATACTCATCATCCTCATCAGCATTTCCATATCCAAATGAACCCCGAATAGATGAATAATTGCAACATTACATGTGAGACCGACGAAAAAAAAAACCACGTGAAGTTGAAGATTTGATGCGCAAGCTCCTTCGACATCATCATCTCTCTTTGTGTTATTTTTGGCGGTATACTGAGGTTCTATGGCTTTAAATAGGACCGTGTTTCCGTCGAAGAAGGCAGTTCATAACACGATTTCTACATGCTGGAGCATCGTACTGTATTCGAAGTAAGTAAACAGTTATGATTGATGCACATGATCGGATCAGAATGGACAGAACAAAGAATCCGTGGATTATTGATTGGCCCTTTGATCGATGATCGTTCCGTCATCGATCGACGATCCCTGTAGTGAAGAAATGACATTGTCGATCGGGAAAATGCGGGAGCATTCGAATATCGCGATTATTTCGGCTATTTTCATTGATTATCGATCGATGTGACGGAATTGTGATTGTCCTAATCGTGTATATGATCACATGTAATATGAATTTATTTTTAAATAGTGAGTGCAACGTATTTCTGAGCTTTGGCAGCGGCTCATGATTCTTTTCATTGATATCAAAGGACATGTGTTTTATAAATGAAATTAAACGGATTGATTTGAACAACAATTGCCTTTCGCTTTAGTTTCCGATCGGTTATTCTTAATTTTTTACGGAGGGAGTGATTATTGGGTCGTTGTGATGGGCTCATTTCGAGAGGGCGTTTGTTTTGTTTTGGGGAATGATGAATATTTATTTTAGTGAAAAAGTGCAACGCGCGGAACCCGCGGAATACTGCGTATTAAGCAGTTGGCATAAGTTCCAAAAATTTACAATTCTCATTGGGATTATTCTGGACTGGTTTACGAGACCTACGATTCTAACGATGACGCAGTTTTTGTTTTTATGTATTGGATAATTTTCAATTGGGACTGTGACCGTCAGGCGATTTTTGACATAGTGTGGCAGCGATCATCTCGGTGATGAGTGGGTTTGGAAGAAAATGTCATAAAAGATTTTTTGTAGATAATTAAATTGTCTTCAAAGAAGGTTTGCTGACTTTTTCCGTTAAATCTACTAGTTCCGGAGATATTTGCGAAGTAGTGCGTTCAATTTTCAAGTAGGATTTTTAAATTTAATTTGCGATTATCGCGAAAGTGAGTGGTCCCAGTAAAAAACGTTAGAAAATATTTTTTGTAGAGAATTTAATTTTCTGCGGAAAAGTTTTTTTGACATTTTTCTCTAAAATCCTTTCTTCTTCTGATTTTACAATTTTTAACTATTTTACGAGACTTACAGTTCTAACGATGACACAGTATTTGAGGCTGCGAATATCTCGGAAATGCGTAGTTTTAAAATAAAATGTCATAAAATATTTTTTGTAGAAAATTAAATTATCTTTAAAGAATATCTTTTGACATTTTCTGCTAAACCTAGTAGTTCCGGAGATATTGGCAAAGTAGTGCGTTCAATTTTCAAGTCGAATTTGTAAATTTAATTTGTGATTATCGCGAAAGTGAGTGATGCCAGGAAAAAATGTCAGAAAATCTTTTTTGTAGAGAATTTAATATTCCGCAGAAAACATTTTTTGACATTTTGCTCTAAAATTAGTTGTTACTCTGATTTTACCACTTTAAATTATTTTTTATTTTATTCCATTGCAGGTTTCTTACGCTCGCTTAACGTTATTTCGTTCAACTGAAGTGCGTATTTAATTATTGAGTGAATAAAAATGCATGAAAAATGCACGTTGATCATCCCTCTAGTAATTATTCATTTTATCGTTGATTATTTAAAACTTATTCTAATTTTTCTTGTTCATTCGATTATTTAATACATATTGCGATAGAGTTTTTGATGGTTGAATAAATGAGAGATGATTAGAAATAGCTTTACCCTTTGACTGAGCCGAATAAATAGGACGTTAGCGTGGTGCTGGCAATTAGAGAGAGAACTGACGTTGCTGAAACGCCTTCGGGAAAATTTCGTGAGAGATTTCAACAGAAAATAAATAAATCCATCGTGTTTAATTAATTCGTGTTATCATGAGTTTGTGGAGTTCTCGTCACTCGCGTTCACTCATATCGATTCTTCTGGCAAGTTTTAATTAGAGAAATGTAATTATCTTCATGCTCATCGACAAAAAACCAATAAAAGGTCTCATGTCTCAATCATGTTCACTATTGTTTGTATTTGTTAAAAAATAGTGAAAGGAAATAAATTTCGAAAATGTCTGAGGAAATTATTTTGCGAATATTTTGGAAACTCGGGGGTTTTGGGGAAATGTCGAGAGATTATTTTCTACAGATAATGCAATTTTCTGTAGAAACAAAACATTAGGTCTGTTTCAGTAACGAAGTGGTAAACCGGTACAAGTCAATTTTGACTATTGACCAGTTTTCAATGAATATCTCAGAATCTAAGGGAGCCAAATTTTTGTTATAACTTTTTTTGTAGAGCCGGTTGAGCACTACAATAAATGTAATTACGAAAATTTCGCTATCACTCTTAGATTCGGAAATATTCCGCAAAAACTCAACTGGGAGATGAGTCGACTTAAACCGTTTTATCACTTCGCTACTGATTTGTTACTGAAATAACTACGTAATTAACGAAAATTTCCCATTTTTATAATTATAGCTTCTAGCCTTCAATTTGAGTCCATTGAGATTCTATGAAAAAACATTTTACATAAATATTCATATTGTTTTTTTATTCACGAGCTACCGTAGTTTCTCTTTTTTTTCCTCAACAGTCATGTGTGAAAAAATTTAATAGAAAAACCTACCGAATTCGGGGGACATTTCTATTGAATTTCTATTGAACTTCCTATTTGTTTTTTATCGATTCCATTATTATGTTCAATAGAAAATATTCTATATAAAAAGTCGATAGAATTCGAGTTTTCGATACAACTCATTCTAGTTTCTATAGAATTTTTTGCGTTCAAAATTTCTAAGTTATTTTATTTCATTTTCGTGATGAAAAAATGAAATCTTCCTATCGTAAAAAGGAGAAAGGAAATCGATCTCGAAATATCTCGAAAATCTCCGCGTCGAAGCGCCACTACGTGCGGGGATGAGACGGCGCGTGCGTACCGATTTCGTGAAAAAAATTAGAAAACTTGAGCCGAGGAAATTCTATAGAAAATATCTTAATAGAATAAGTTGTACAGAAAAGTCGAATTCTATTGACTTTTTCTGTAGAATATTTTCCATCGAGCATTTCCACAGAATTGTCTAGCGAATTTGCTAGGGTTTTCCATTAAATTTTTTCGTGCGTGATTTTGTTTCCAAAATTTCAAAACATACTTTTTGAGAATTTTTGAAATAGGCATAATGTGATTTCACACTTAATGATGAAATTAGTTTTTTGTAAATGTCTCGGAAACTAGTGGATTTGGGCGACGATAATGAAAACCATTTTTCATCACGCTGTGCGAAAAAGTAACTTTTTAGGCACGCCTCGCGTGCCTAAAACGTCCCTTTTCGACACATTGTGATGAAAAATATCGTTCGATACTCATGGGAAAAGTGTTTTTTGGCTCGTGAGATTGTATCACTCGCCTTCGGCTCGTGCTATAAACCTCCCACGAGCCAAAAAACACTTTTCCGCACTCGTAACGAAATATACTATTCTTTGAAAAAGTTTTTTTTACATTTTGCCATAGGGTCGTTCAGTACTAAGAGACTTATACAGGCCATTATTGATTATTAAACAAAATCGATGTCAAGGCCTCCTTGATTCTATCAAAATATGGCGGGAATGGCATCACTCGTCGGTGAGTGACAGCCTATAAATTGTTTGTGAGATATTTCTTCGAAAATCGATTTTTAACGATCAATGGAGAAATGATCATCGGAATCAATTACATTTTGGCTTTAAAAATTCGGTTCAATGGGTTTTTAGAGTTACATATTAGCGTAAAATGAGCTTTCGCTCCCGAATAAAAGCACTATTTTCGCCACAAATTGAGTTCGCGATTTTTTCTACTGGATCAACTAAAAACTGAGAACAAAATTGGACTAATTATCTATTTATCCATTATGTTATGGGCAGCTTCACACTCGTGAAAAACCCGTCGCATTTGTAGGGAGGTAAAATGAAGAAATCGTGTGAACTTAGTCGTCAGAATAGCATATTACGATACAAGTGAAAAAAGTAGTTTATAACAAGTGTGAGGGTTACAGGTCGAGCCGAAGGCGAAGTCTGTAATAACACTCGTCAGGAAGTACATTTTTTCATATGTATTGTACGATATTTTATGATACTGGTGAGAAAAAGGCGGTTTTTTTGCGCGCGAAGCGTGCATACAAGTGCCCTTTTTTCACTTGTACCATAAAATACTTTCTGGCCCTAATGATAAAATCTACCATTATCTCTGCTCTCATTGAAAAATTCAATCAAGAAATGTAGAAAATTTCTGATTGTGAAGAAATTACGATAAAATAATATTAATTGAATAAGTTGCGTAAAACGATCAAAATCGATTAGATTTTTTAAATTAAAGATTTCTATCTAATATATCATTAAAAAATCACAGAATAACTGCGTAATCTTTTAGTTGGATAAACCAAAAAAAGTATTTCCAGTCGAATTTTGTATCGAGTGCACTGAAATGTAGAAAATTTCTGATTGTGAAGAAATTACGATAAAACAATATTAATTGAATAAGTTGCGTAAAACTATCAAAATCGATTAGATTTTTTAAATTAAAGATTTCTATCTAATATATCATTAAAAAATCACAGAATAACTGCGTAATCTTTTAATTGATAAACCAAAAAAAGTATTTCCAATCGAATTATCTATCGACTGCACTACGTTTTTCATAAAATTTTCATTCAGAAAATAATGATAATAATTGTAAAAATTGTAATAATTTTCTAAAACCTTTATTCACAAAATAAAAATTGACAAGACTTTTTACAGAAAATTTCATGAGCAATAGAAAAAACTTGACGTTAAAATGTTCAGAGAGCAATTGTTCCGGTGAACCCCCGAGATTTTATCTCGAAAAATATTTGCGGAAGGATTTTTTTTGCAAATCATCTCCTTTCATTATTTTTCGTCAAAAATGTTTTCCTCTCTACTTCAAATTCGAGAAGCTCCGATGAAATGGATGGAAAATTATTTAGAGACGTGTTGATTCCCTTAGATGCCCACCGAGTGCATCGCAAACCCGTTGCAGCGGGAGCTTGCAGACTCAATAATTCGCATGCAATCACTAGATGAGATAAGGATACTTCTGGCTTGTGGTGCTAAACCAAATGATGCAGTCACTCAGGGATTGAGGCCACTCCACTATGCTATTTGGCAGAAATATGCTGATGCAGCACAGCTGCTTATCGTACGTGGTGCCGATATCGACGCCACTGACGAGTGCGGATACTCAGCTCTGCATCTTGCTGCTGAGCATGGGTACCTGGATCTCGTCAAGCTTCTCATCAAGGCCGGGGCGAAGGTTGATCATCGGGAAGACACCGGGGAGCTTTTTCCAAGGTATCCCATAAAACAATAAAACAATACAGTAGCGAAGCGGTAAACCGATTTAAGTCGATTTAGACTATTGGTCAGTTTTCAATGAATATCTCGAAACCTAAAGAACATAGAAACTTTTTTGTAATAACCTTTTTTATAGCTCTCAATTCGCTCTACAAAAAAGGTTATAATGAAAATTTCACTATTTCTCTTGAATTTAGAGATATTCCTCGAAAACTCAGCGTAGAGCTAAGTTGACTTGACCCGGTTTACCGCTTCGCTACTGAATAAAACTACCATAGTTAGTACTTGGATGGGTGACCGCTTCGGAACACGCTCGCCCAAAAATTTCGGAAGGTAGGCACGGTGCGGTGGTATAACTAGAGATGCAAATGCGTCACATGACCCGTCATATGACGGTCATGCCCGAACAATAAAAAAATTTTTTTTGCACTAATTATTCGTAATCAAATCTATATAATCGATCTTCAACGTATGAAAAGTCTCACGTCAATAACCCACGACTTTTAAAACTCACATAAGTCTCCCCTTAATACACTGAGAGAAATATTCAATACAAATTACGTATCTTTTCCGTAATTCCGGAGCGAAATGTGGTTGTAGGAAATTTTACGGAACTGTCACGGAATTTTTCCGGAGCGTTCCGTAATCTTTATCTGAATCTCCTGTAAAAAATTACAATGACGTCACTTAAGTTTTCCAAGTCGATTCCGTAATTGGCGAGTGAATTATGAGTTTCGTAATTTTTACTGAACATTTCTCTCCGTGTATTGAAGAATCGGAAGATTGATGGCCCTCCATGCCTCAGATCCGGGGATATTACAAAAAACATATCCTCGAATTGATTTGACTCATTCCAATTTCAACACTCGTCTCCCCTGTTCTAATAATTTTGATGATCATCTTGATTGAAGAACAATGTTGTGTGATGAGCCCCTCCGTCTTGCCCTGCGAAATCGTCACATAGAAGTGGCCCGAACACTCCTGGAGGCTGGCGCTAATCCAAACAAGCGCTACTTCTTCGGTTCGGAAATAAATCTAGTATCGCCACTGGATCTGGACTGTATGGAGTTGTTGTTGGCATTTGGAGCTCAGCCGAACACGAGGGACCGGGCTGGCCTCACACCGCTGATGAAGGCCGCCAGATTGCCACAAGTGAGCCTTGACTTATTATTAATCTCCAAACATTAATCATTAACCTTTAATGAGCCACAGACCTAGAGTCTAGACCAAATCCTAAACTATTAATTGAGTTCAGTGGTTTAACGCAAACATAAATTTTCCCCTAATTGTGAGTTCCTCTTGAAGAGCATTCGTTCCATGAGAGATCGCTGAAAGCAAAGCTGTTTCATAACTGAAGATATTTCATACGAAAAATATCCTTCGGTATTTTCCCCCGCACGAAAAAATTTAATAGAAGAACCTAGCGAGTGCGTTAGCAAATTCTTTTGGATTTCTATTGAACTTTCTATTAGTTTTTGGCAGGGATAGCCATATTCATAAATCATAATTACCGTTAAATTTTGAAGCCGTCATTTAGTTAATATCACTCTTAAATTTTTAATTATTCAAGTAACCATCTATTTAAATATTCAAATTTTGAACTATTTTATTAATCAATAACTTAGGTAGGAAAATTGCCGATTATTCGGTCAATCGATGATCCCTTTTAAGAAGTTGGAAATATTTACTTAATGGAAAATTTACAGGTTTATATTATCAAATATTTAATTCAGTAGCGAAGTGGTAAACCGGTATAAGTCGATTTTGACTATTGGCCAGTTTTCAATAAATATCTCGGAATCTAAGGGAAATGGTGAAATTGTTGTAATTTCCTTTTTTGTAGCTCTCAATTTGCTGTACAAAAAAGGTTATGACAAAAATTTTGCTATTTCCCTTAGATTTTGAGATATTTATTGAAAACTGGGCAATAGTCAAAATCGACTTATACCGGTTTACCACTTCACTACTGAATTCATCATTAATCAGGAATTTAAATTATCAGTATTATATAATTTTTAGATTTTGGTGAGTATATTTAAACCTTTATTCATGTAATTAGCAAATGCTTTTAATATTAACGAAATTTAATATTGATGGCTATCCCTAGATTTGGCCGATTCTATAGAAATGTTCAATAGAATTCGATTTTTCTATATAATTTCAGATATTTTCTATAGAATTTCCTCAGCTCAAATTTTCAATTTTTTTCATTCTACTTTTCTTTTCTTCTCATCAAGAAAATCCAACAAAAAACTTGGAAAATTTGAGCCGAGGTAATTCTATAGAAAATATCTCAATACAATAAGTTGTATAGAAAAATCTAATTCTATCGACTTGTTCGACTTGTCTAGCGAATTCGCCAGGTTTTTCTATCAGATCTTTTCATACGAAGTCTCCTTTTACTGAGAAGATTTCATATTCGACAAGTTGGGAGGAATTTCTTCCGTCCTTTCTGTTACGTTCCACCACTTCACTACTAAATTCCGCTCTTAGGGTATTGCATCGGTGCTTTTACTACTGAGCTACGGAGCAGATGTTAATGCAATGGCTGATGCCAGACACGACTACAGGACTGTTCTGCACTATGCGATTCTGGGTGGTGATACGACAGTGATCAATTTGTTGTTGAAACAAGGCGCGAGGCTTGATCTGGGGCCGGACTATCAAAAACCAACGGCTCTGGATCTGTCAATCCTCAAAGGGGATCCGATCATCGTGGAGATGCTCCTCGAAGCTGGTAAATTGATTTTCATTTCTATAAATAAAGATTTATTGAAAAACGAACAATAGAACAGACCAAATATAAAAATGCATGCACAATCAGCATCGAAAATTAATTGCTTGAACTTATCGTCGATGGATTATAATTCTAGAATTGGTAACAAATTTGCTAGCATTCTACAGCAATGTTGTTCCATTCTTGATGAATTGTAATAATAATTCATTCGGTACATCTGTGGAGGGCAATCTTATTTTGCGTCTACACCGGGGCCAAAAATATTATTCTAATCACGGAAAGTAAAATGAAGGACTCCTTAACTCCATTACTCCTTTTTCCGTACTGACCTTCACTTTTCCTCGTCCTGGGATTGGTATTGGTCATTCTCCAAACTCGTAAAACTGAAAATCACTGCGGAAAAATATCGTTCACAGCTAATGTCATAGTTTTTTTTATTCGTGTGGTTGGCCAGTCCTCGCGTTCGGCTCCGACGCCAACCCCACGCGAGTAAAAAACCCCATAGCACTGGTCGTGAACGATATTTTTCGGTAGTAATTTTCACTTTTACGAGTTCGCGGAAGGGTTAATACCAATCCCCGAACGAGGAAAAGTGAAGAGCAATACGGAAAACAGATTTGAAGATGGAAATGTGTACTTTGCGCCCGACAGGACGAAATAAATGTTTCGATATCTCTTCTAAACTTTGAACTACGAACTACGTTTGCTCAAGGAAAACCAAACGACAGGCTCTGCATTTCACAAAAAAATTTCCTTCCAATAAATCTCGCCACATCTCTCCCCTAGATACAATCAAAATAAACCTCTTTTTTTTATTGTTATTTTACATCGCTTCGACTCGGCTGAGTATATTGCGATGATGATCAAGACTTTAAAATGGTTAGATCTTACCATTATGTCCGACCGGGATTTGAACTCGGAACCTTGCGCACGTGAGGCAGCGGCTTTACCCAATGCGCTAAGCCGTCGGGCCTCAGGAAAAAAAAAAAAAAAAAAAAAAAAAAAAAAAAAAAAAAAAAAAAAAAAAAAAAAAAAAAAAAAAAAAAAAAAAAAAAAAAAAAAAAAAAAAAANTTAAACCCGAGTCTCCCCTCGAGCTCCATTCACAACCTCTATTTTTCCACCGCGAATGCGACTCAAAAATAGAAGCCGAATTTTCCAATCATAATTCTATTTCCGTCCCACGTCTGCCGCAGTTTATTATCCCGCGAAATTCCCTCTTTCCCCCAAAACAGTGATGATTCTCGGTCCCCCAGGTGCCGACGTGAACGCCTCGTCCCCGATAATCGGATCTCCGCTGCACGTGGCCTGTGCGGACAACATCCCGAACCGCCTGGAGGTGCTGAGCATGCTCCTGGAGCGCGGCGCGGACCCGAACCTAGTCATCAGGAGTGACGAGGGTCCGGCGCTGCGCCCAGTCCTCGCGGAGTACGTGGCGTCCAACGAGAACCCCTCGGTGGAGGTGGTGAGCCTCCTCCTGAAGTACGGGGCACGAGTGGTCATCAAGACGCAGTTCAGGGATCCCCATGGGATCCTCAACTCCCTGCAGAACACCGCGGACAAACCGCGACTGCTGAGGGCCCTGCTGGAGGCTGCGGAGAGCTTCGATCCCTGCATGATCAGGAGGTCCAGCAGCCTCACCGATGCCCAGAGGGCTCTTGTCATGGAGGCCGCCAGGACCCCTCTCCCCCTGACGCATCAGTGTCGACTTATTGTTCGGAAAACCTGCGGAACTAAACTCCCCAAGGTCGTCAGGTCTCTGCAGCTTCCGCAGTCGTTACATCGCTACCTTCTTTATGATTTTTACTAGCATTAGACCAACACGTTTGGCATAACACTCTGCTGGGGCCATTCAAATATTACGTTACGCGTCTTTGGAAACTTTAGACCCTGTCGCAAATATCAACCCCTTGTATATTACCTTTTGCGAGTTTTTCAGTTTTTTCATAAAAGTTAATTTAAAAAATAAAAAGAAGGCAATGGATTATAGGTCAACAATGAAATTACTTGTTGCGATTTTTCTCGGTTTTTTCGTAACATTTAATTTTTTTAATTCGAAGAAGAAGGCACAGGATTAGGTTAATAATAAACATTTTTTAATTCGAAGAAGACATTTTTATAGTAGATTTAATTTTTTTAATTCGAAGAAGAAGGCAAAGGATTAGGTGAATAATGAAATGTTTATACGATGTTCTTTGAACATTTCGGAACTTATTAAATATTGCCATCGGAGCATTTTGACATGCCTCTGTGAATCTTTGGAATATTGTCAATGGGCCAGTTATGGAACCCTTAAGAAACCAGGTTTTTCTTACGATTGTTTCCATCTTTCGAATGTATTTCTCAGCTATTGAAAAAAATTCTAACTAGCTGTACTACATAGTTTAGTCTCTATATTATATATTGTATAAAAATCCAAATCGACTTCTGGTGATGAAAATTTGGTACTCGAGATTAAGAGTCCAAAATTAAGAGTCAGAACTGAAAGAACAAAAACCAAGAGTCAGAAAGTAAGGGTCATAGGGGTCAAAATAAAGGTCAGAATAAGGGTCGTGGGGGTCACCATCTACAGACCCCCCCCCTGATCGTATCCTTTTTTATAAAGTTGATTAACAATGAATGATTGTTTTGATTGTCAACTTTTTATTCGCCTGGCGATTGGTTGATGGATCAATCAATGATTTCCATGACTACGAGGATGCTATTGTGCGTTACAGCGCTCACTTGAAGGTGGTCGCGCGCGACAGTGCGCATGATTGCCTAGTGACGTAATATTTGAATGCTCCTCTGTTATTGTATGTGAAACGCTCTTTATACAGTTATTGTCCATAGATTGTGATACCAGGGAGATTGATATTTTTCGAAATTTTTTGGAGTATTAATATTTGTAATGCTGTTCGGATTTTTCGGATGGTCTGAGCTATTTTTGATGACGGGGGTTTATTGTTCGGGTCTGAAACGGGGTAAAACGGGTTCAGGAAGGGGTGATCGTTTGGGAAGGATCGTGGGAAGATTTTTTCGGATGGTTTTAAGATCATCTCGAGAGGTAAAAATTTTCCGAGAAATAGAAGGGAATAGGGTTTTCTTGCAGGGGATAAAGTACTCGCAGAGAAGATGAATTCGTTGGTAATTGGAGGGTGAGAATTGTATTTTGGGATGATTTCATCGCAAATTCATTAAAGCCTAGTCCATTGTCTAGAGAATTCTATTCTATTGGAAAATAGAAAAAAAATTCTCAACCAATCCAATAGAAATTCAACAAAAATTGAATTTTTGTTGGATTTCTATTGAAAATTCTATTGATTTTTCGCCGAATCTATTTGAAAATTCCGCAATCTCACTGCGGGGTTTTTTCAATAGAAATGTTCAATTAAAAATATCGCATGGGAGAAATAAATAACTTTGACTTCTCTATACAACTCATTCTGCTGAGTCTCGTTCTATAGAAATTTCTCGGCTTAAATTTTCCAAGATCTTTTACTTGAACTTTCTAATGAAAGAAAGACAAAACACGGATTTGTGTTAAGGAATTTCGATAGAAAATTTATGAATTGCATAAGATGCAAATCTATGGATTTTTCCCACAAAAATTTTATGTTCAGAAACGCGCGTGAAAGCGGCAGGATTTTCAATAGAAATTCAATTCAATGTATTTTAGAGAATGCAATAAGTTTTTCAATGAATCATTTCCACGCGTAGAGTTCCTTAAATTCTCTACTAAAAACCTTCCAGACGAGAAGTTTCATTTCATATTTCAAATCGTGAATGCAAATTTAGTTCGTGGACTTGAGTCGTTTTACCCCATGCCAACAGAATTATTTACATTGTTAATAATTGGTCGGTGGAAACCGTTGTAACGAAGGGATCTCAACTCGCTCAGACGATGCAATCGTCGTAATCGATTATATATTTCTGATATTTAATTTTTTACCTTTGTATAATTGTTGAGGATTTATTGATGATGAATAAAAACGAGGTGATGAACGTAATGATGTGTTGGATAATTCGATTGTTGATGGAGGGTTTCTGTCTGTGTGATTATAAATTTTGGCGAGGGTGAGGATCGACAGTCATCCAGTATCTATACTATACGTGGGGAGTGAAAATAGCAGCCTCGATAGATACTTGCGTCAAGCGTTTTGGCAGGGATCTGGGATAATGAGGAAATCGACGGGTAATGAGGGGAATGTTTAATTGGATTTTCAGAGTTTTTGGCTTCCGAATGGAAGCATTGTATTCGTCAAAAAAACAGTGTTCAAATGAAAAAACAATTGTTTAAATGAATCCAATTGTGATTTAAAATATTCTTCTCGGTGCCGTCTTTCCCACCGAGTTCAATCATGAGATTAATTGCATCAGCTGTTGAACAAATTTATTTTAATACCAATATTCAGGGAACGGTAAAAAATTTTAACGGCAGGGCAATGTTGGATGTCGACGTTGGGGCAATGTAGGATGTTAATGTTGGGGCAATATTGACTGCCAACGTTGGGGCAATGTTGTCTGCCAACATTGGCGCAATGTTGGTGCAATGTTGTCTGTCAACGTTGGCGCAATGTTGGGGAAATATAGGATGCCGATGTTGGGGCAATTCTGAATTCAATTAAAAATACATCATCACAGTGATTTCATTCGGGGGTAAACGGCTAATTTTTTTTTCTATAAATTGCTAATTTATTAGCAAACAATATATTGACTACGTTGTGACGAAAGCAATTTCTCATGTGTTTTAAATTTAATCAGGATCCCGGAAAGAATGCACTACGGAAAAAATAGACCAAGGGAAATTGTTAAGCTAGGTGGGTTTTAACACATCTTGGGGGTGTGGACTATTTTTTCCACCAACAGATTTTCCACTATTCCAGCCTGCCACTGAATTTGACAGCCTATTTCCCTGTTTTCCTACGTCCGAATAATCAATGAATAATTTCCGCTGATACCAGTTATTCCACAAAGTAAAAATAAACAAACTTTGCGGTTTTATTTCGATGATTTCGAACAGAACAATAAGCAGAGAAATTCTCTGATCAGTAAACATTTGAATAGATTTTTTTCTCCGATTGACAAACGCAGAACTATGTAAATATTTTGAATTCCGATCGACCAATTTCGAGGCGCAGTAATTGGGATATGAACTTAAGATGTGACACAAGTAAATCAGATATTTTTCCACAATCATTCTCGTTAATATTCATTTTCGTTTATCGAATGAAATAGATTGGTGTATAAAAAGTGAGTGAAAATGGGTCAGTCTGAATGCAGACCAAGTTCTCCTTCTCCCTCAATAGATTATCTGGAAGCAGTTGTAGCTAAAAGGGTAAAGGAGAGGGAAAATTCAGCGCAGGATCCGAATGAGCTGATGCCAGGCAGGAAATTCTTCAAATCCAGGCATCGCGTTCCCGAGAAAAAACGTAAAAAGGGGGAGAAAGCGTGGATAGAGGGAAAATCTTCCGGCCGTCGATGGGAAATGGTCGAGAAAGGTTTGTGGTCTTTTTGTATCGAGAGATAATTGCAAAATGAAGTGATTTCGGAATTTTACGGCGCCTTTTTTTACTATAGAATGTGCTATAGAAACTATTTTATAGAAAAAATCAATAGAATTTCATCTTTCTATGTAATTTTTTCTATTGAGACAATTTTCCAAGTTATTTTTACTTCATTTTTTTTTCTTTTCATTCAAAGAATCAAACAAAAAAACTTTGAAAATTTAAAGAAATTTATATACGAAATATCTCAACAGAATAAATTGTTCAGAAAAATAAAATTCTATTGATTTTTTTTGTATAGAATATTTTCTATTGAACTTCTACCGAACTATTGCCTCAAATACTGGAAGAAATCACCTAGTTATTTCCACTCAATTTCTCTTATTCTTTTCATTGAAAGAGACAAAAAAATGAAAATTTGAGGCGACGAATTTTTATACGAAATATCTCAATAGAATAAGTTGTACAGAACAATCAAATTGCTTTGATTTTTTCTATAGAATATTTTCTATTAAACATTTACTGAATTATTGCCTTAAATACTGGAATAAATTATCTAGCCATTTCCTTCCCCTGTGAGCAGTGCATCCAATAACGGTAGGAATTCAGAAAAGCTCGAGACAAACGAATTATCGGCGCCCCAATAGATCTCATCAATCATCCTCCCGCCCATCGTCGCCCACTTCACCGGACAATGGTGACCTTCCGGATGCAGAAGAAGCGTCGATTTCCAATTCAGAATCTTCAAGAGAAGGATCCAGCACACCGGATGATAGCACAACTGATTGAATACTAAACGATTGAAAGAGACTCTAGATCTATCCTAAATTATGATTCCTGTCGGTGAATCCATAAAGAAATTATGAAATTTCCAAATATTCATAGGGAATCCGTTCTCTCACACCTCGTTGAATAAAGAATAATTGCGGGGCGAAAGTATTTCGTTCGGAAAAAGTGAATGATGAAAATTTCATCAATGCCATACCAATAAAAAAACATCAATCTCGAATTTACAATTTCACATACACTGCGAGAAAAATATTTCCAAAGTTAGTGTTTTTCCCACCAACGCTGGGACATCATAGAGTCATCGAAAAATGGGGATGTGGCGCCCTAATTTTTGAAGGGACTGACGCCATTTCCTCATGGGATTCCCCTGAAAATAAGAATATGAACGTGAAATATCACGTTCGAATTCTTCTGACGTTGTTATACTCCAGCGTTGGTAAGTAACACAATTTTTTCAGGATGTTTAGATTTACAGGCGGATTATATATTAATTTTTATAGTATTCTTGTAAATTTCCTTGTTGAGTTATAGAGATGTTACGTTACTCCAAAACTGCGGCACCATCTGCGTTGATAATATAGTCTTATGCTAAGTGGAAAAATCCTCATCAGAGTCCATGTATGAAAAATTACTTTGAATATTAATGACTTGAAAATAAAATAAAAGATAACTCTTTAAAAAATCACACATAATCTAACAACTGATGTAAACGGACGGTGTGTCCTGTTGGGGGACTTCAGTAGTATTGAGCCTACATTGCAATTGCAATGTAGTACTTAAGTTGCTGTCATCTATTCTCGATTTGCATTCATGATATCCAATAAATTTCTACTACCCAGGGGACAATTTTTACGGATGCCATCTAGAAGTCCCCAGCAAGACCGTTAAATTTACGATTCGTTATAACGATTTACCGGTAAATTTCCGGATATTTACCGGTCTTGCTGGGGACTTTTAGATGGCATCCGTAAAAATTGTTCCCTGGATAGTAGAAATTTATTTAATATCATGAATGCAAATCGAGAAAAGAAGAATGGCAGTAACTTAATAGCTGGGTATTTACTTGCCATATTAATCTATGTTGTATAAAACGAATGGAGATATTAATATCTCCATAAAACGAGCGCCGCCATCGGTAATTAGCTGTCCCAATTGGACACATAAATATCATAAAAAATAGTATATTATGTCCCGAGGACAGATAAACCACGAATTTTAACTTCACTTTGTTCGGTTAGAACGCAGTTCTCGGTACTTGGGTCATAAAATATTATTTTATGTCCCTAGGACCGTAAAACTGCGATTCCAACATCGATTCCCTCGGAAATTACGGGTTTTTTACGTCATGTAAAAAACTGCGGTTATCGACAGATGCCCAACCCCGATCTACTCAAGACCACAACGCACCTACCGAACAAACCCAGAAGCTCCCCCCCAACCACTTGTTTCGTGCTTGCAGTACGCTCTACTCCCTGCGTGGTATCGGGCTGAAGTTATATTTTACAAGATCTATGCGCGCGCTCTCGCGCGCGCTGATCTATTCATTTGTTGAAATGAAGAAATGGAATTTATTGAATTTCATTTTCTCATGAATACTTTATAAATATTGATAATGAATCAAAGAGAATTCGACTAATGATTCAAGTGAATAGCGAAGTAGAGTGAAAGAATCTATAAAGAATTTTTCATTTTCAAGTGATTATCTTCAATTTTTTTAAATAATCGGTCTCCATAAAAAGACAGAATTTATTAATTTCACCGATAATATATATACATGTGAAATATATATATTAAATATATATATTAAATATATATATATATGACGTGAAAAAAAAATTTACCTCTGAAGAATTTGAAATTATGTCACTGAAGAATTTGAAAATGCCGCGTGTTTTTTTTTTGTGAATAACTTCGTGTCACATATTGACCAATCAGATTTAAGGATTAGCGGTCAGGCAGTTTCGAGATATTTCGATATAAAACAACTTCACGTTTCGTTCATCTTTAGTAAATAGGATTTGTAACAGAAACAGCTGATCCGTCATAAGGGAGTGAAAAAATGTCTGAGGAGAAGAAATCCGGGGATCAGGCGAACGATGCAGAGTTGGATGACTTGTTGAACAGTTAGTACCTCAATTTATCAATATCGAATATCGCTTTGATCAGTAATAATTATCATTATCATTGACACCGTAGATTATTTGAAACTATCCGCATTAGCCAGTCACCACTTACCTAAAGGGGTAAAGTTCATTACAAAACATGTTAATGTATTCTTCTTCGCACGAGTCTGCAACAAGTTGACGATATTTTTCAGTATCTGTGAATAATAAAAAATAGTGGGGTTTCGCATTGAGACATTCATATCCTTCAACATTCAGAACTACAATTAATTTAGATTTCTTCATCTGCCTCGATTCTGTCCCATTTTAACAAAAAAATAAGAACAATGTCAAGTTGAGAAGATTTGAGTCCTGGTTATTTAATAATAAATGGGGAGAACAGAAAGAATTCTGAATCGATGGTATTACATCATTTTCAGGTGCTCTAGAGGACTTTAACAAATTACCACAGCTTGTGAAAAAAGAGGATGCTCCAGCGGCTGCGACAGGTCCGAGTGATCAGGATTCCCCGGAGGAACTTGTGGATGAAACTTGGTCGCAGGATTTCATAAGACAGACTGCAGATCAATTTGAGAAGAATCTACAGAGTTTACTTGAAAAGGGTGGGTCTGCTGTTATGTAATACCATTTTCGGACTACTTTTTGGGTGCCCATGAGGAGGCAATCTAAGTCGATCAAGGTGATTCAATTCAATTTAAGTTCATTTCGACTATTGGCCAGTCAATTCAATGATTCAGTGATTCAATTCAATTTAAGTTTATTTTGACTATTGGCTAGTTAATTCAATGATTCAGTGATTCAATTCAATTTAAGTTCATTTTGACTATTGGCCAGTTAATTCAATGATTCAGTGATTCAATTTAAGTTCATTTTGACTATCGGCTAGTCAGTTCAATGATTCAGTGAGTCAATTCAAGTTAAGTTCATTTTGACTATTGGCCAGTTAATTCAATCATTCAGTGATTCAATTCAAGTTCATTTTGATTATTGGCCAGTTAATTCAATGATTCAGTGATCCAATTTAAGTTCATTTTGACTATTGGCCAGTAAATTCAATGATTCAGTGATTCAAGTTCATTTTGATTATTGGCCAGTAAATTCAATGATTCAGTGATTCAATTCAATTTAAGTTCATTTTGACTATCGGCTAGTCAATTCAATGATTCAGTGAGTCAATTCAAGTTAAGTTCATTTTGACTATTGGCCAGTTAATTCAATGATTCAGTGATTCAATTCAAGTTCATTTTGATTATTGGCCAGTTAATTCAATGATTCAGTGATTCAATTCAATTCAAGTTCATTTTGATTATTGGCCAGTTAATTCAATGATTCAGTGATTCAATTCAATTCAAGTTCATTTTGACTATTGGCCAGTTAATTCAATGATTCAGTGATTCAATTCAATTCAAGTTCATTTTGACTATTGGCCAGTTAATTCAATGATTCAGTGATTCAATTCAATTCAAGTTCATTTTGACTATTGGCCAGTTAATTCAATGATTCAGTGATTCAATTCAATTCAAGTTCATTTTGACTATTGGCCAGTTAATTCAATGATTCAGTGATTCAATTCAATTCAAGTTCATTTTGACTATTGGCCAGTTAATTCAATGATTCAGTGATTCAATTCAATTCAAGTTCATTTTGACTATTGGCCAGTTAATTCAATGATTCAGTGATTCAATTCAATTCAAGTTCATTTTGACTATTGGCCAGTTAATTCAGTGATTCAATTCAATTTAAGTTCATTTTGGTTATTGGCCAGTTAATTCAATGATTCAGTGATTCAATTCAATTTAAATTCATTTTGACTATTGGCCAGTTTTCAATGAATATCTCGGAATCTAAGGGAAATCGCAAAATTTTTTTCAAGATATTCTTTGGAGAGGAGCTAAATTTATCGTGGATGTGGGAGGTCTTTGATCACTCGATAGGCCGCAAAAGATTTTATCACTGAGTTATAAAATTCACTATTTATTTAGTGGGAACCACTTCGTTAATTTACTACATACACTCTGTGGTTAATAAATAGAGTTGTTGATAGTCTGAGTCACTGATAATTGTCTACGATAATTCACTTGTTGAGTCGCTTATTGATTAACTTAATTTAACTGAAAATTAGTGATGTACTGAACAAGGGTAAAAATACTGTATGCTATGCACGTAACGATCTCTATTATGTTATGTTTGATACACAACTGCTTGTGCAGTTAAAAGTGCTACTTCTTCTCTCGGATGAGGCAACTAGACTGAACGTCTCTCCCGGCTGTCTCTTGACCCGAAGGATCATGGAGATTTTCGGAGTTGGCCGAGTTAGTTGACCGTGAATTTATGGAGATTTAGCTTCGTTCGCAACAAATCTTTTTTGTAGTCCCCAATTTGCTCTGGAGACAGAGTTATTACGAAAATTTTTTTGTTTTCGTTAGATTCGGAGATATTCCTCGAAAACTCAGCTAAGAGCTAAATCGACTTGAGCTATTTTATCGCTTCGCGACTGAATTCCAGTGCTGGCACTGGAAATTTCATCTGGAAATAATCAGAAATTTTACATGAACAGCACTAAAATTAAATTATGCTGAAAAGTTCTTTAAAAAAATTATTTTTCTAAAGAATTTTTCTGGACAATTTTACAATGAGATGAATTCATAGCTGTAGTATCTGATTTGGCTCGGAACGTGCCATAATTTCAATTCGTCAAAAATTTTATTATTATTATTGATGTCGAATATTTGATCCAAATAATAAGAGCCCTTTGAATCAAATATTCAATGAAGTATTTAATGTTACACTCCAGGAGGCGATAGCGACATCAGTGGATCACTGCAACAAATGGCACAAACCGTAGCCAATGCGATATCCAGTAATGGTCCAGCGGATGCTGAGGGAAATGAATTCCAGGCGGCTATTGCACAAGCTCTTAAAGATATCTCAGCGACTTCGGAAACGTTACAGGTATAAATCACAATATTACATCAATCAATGAATCAATATATCAATTACCTGGAGTAGTGAAGTGGTATAATATGCCAAACTATGTCACGTTTTTATACTTTGCTGAAGTTTTGAATTTTTTTTGAATTTTTGAAGAAAAAGTCCCTCGAGATTTGCTCCCAAAGCCACTGATTCGTAAAATAGTTTATGAATAAATGAATGACTAAATGACTAAACTGAAATCCAACCTTTTCCCCTAAGAATTGAAAAAAATACATAAATAACAAATCAAAAAACCTAGCAAATTTGATATAAAATTTTATTGGATTTCTACGCTTTTTTAATAGAACATGTCCAATAGAAACTATTTTATATTTTTCATTGAGACATTTATCTATAGGAATTCCTTAACAGGAATTTTCCTACTTTTTCCACTCCATTTTTCTTCTCTTTTCATGAAAATAATGAAACAAAAAACTTGGAAAATTGAACCGGGCTATTTCTATAGAAAATGTCTCAATAGAATAAGATGTACTGAAAAATTAAATTCTATTGTTTTTTTTCTATGGAACAAAAACAAATGCAAAGTTAAATAGAAATCCATCAAGTTTTCCTATTATTTTTTTTCGTACGTCTCTATCTGGAAAAATTACTCGTTGATGAGTGATTTCCGGGGAAATGTCAAATTAAATTCTTCCACTTCACCTTTTGATTGTAAACTTTTCCATATTCTTACCAATGGTTTATACGTCTCTCAGAACGCTGGACCAGGAATAACCGAGGCGGATCTGGCAGCTATGTTCGGCCAGACATCACTCGAGGAACCAGGGGGTGACATACTGCCTTTCATGCAGGGAATGATGCAATCACTCTTATCGAAAGAAATTCTCTACCCGTCGCTCAAGGAATTGGTGGATAAATATCCAGCGTGGTTGGATGAGAAAAAGGAGAGCCTATCGCAGGAGGACCTCGCGAGGTTTACGAAGCAATTTGATCTGATGCAGAAAGTAATTATTGTTCCATATTTATTATAACTCTACTCCCAATTCGGTGATAATTTGCGTCGTCTAGAATTCTTTAATATGAAAAATCAATAGGATTTGATCTTTCTATACAATTTATTCTCTTAAGACATTCTCTTTAGAAATTCCTTGGCTTAAATTTTTCAAATTTTTTTTGTAAATTTTTTTTTAACAAGAAAATTTATTTCGACGAATCTTTATATAAGATATCTCAATAGAGTAGGAGCGAGTGGGGCAAAATAGACACATGCCTTTTTTTTTAATCTTGATAACTCATTAAATTTTTTATGAAATGAAATGATTTTTCTTCATTTGGAAAGTATAGCTCTTCCCCTTTGTGATGAGTTTAGACTAAACTCAATTAATGAATTTGTTTCTTATGAATATTGACAGACAAGTAAAATACGCAATTTTGCCCCACTCTCCTACGTTGTATGGAAACATCAACTCTATTGATTTTTTCTATAAAATAGTTTCTATTAATTATTTTCTATTGAAGACGCAAGCAGAAAAGCTTCGAATTTTCCGAAGAGAATAGGCAAAAAATTAATAGAATTAAGAATTTCATTAAATTTCAATTGCTGAATTGTGAGTTCACCACCTTAGAAATGATTTTTCTATCATTCGTAATAAATTTACTCATATTCCGATTTTTTTTAAAAAGGGATTCCATCAGAAAAAAATCAAGTTTCTGGATATTTCGCCAGTTTCCATTCAGGGATTGCCATATTCATAACTCATAATTGCCGTTCAGTTTTGAAGCTGTCAATCAGTTAACATCACTCTTAAATTTTTAATTATTTTAGTAATCATGACTTTAAATATTCAAATTCTGAACTATTTTATTAATGAATAATTTAGGTAGGAAGATTGACGATTATTTGATCAATTGGTAATCCCTCTTAAGAAATGAGAATTATTTACGTAATAGAAAATTCACAGCCCCATATTATCAAATATTTAATAATTAAATTTTAATTCATCATCAATCGCAAATTTAAATTATTGTGATACTATTTTTATATTTTGATGAGAATATTTAAACCTGTACAAATGTAAGTCGCAAATTCCTTTAATATTAATGAAATTTAATATTGATGGCCATCTGTTTCCATTATGCAATCATAAGAAAGAAAAAAACACGATTTTTTGGAACTTTTCTTCATCAATTAAATTTAATAAAAAATGATGAATGAAAATGATGTGTTCCCTCATATTAAATGCAAAATTATTTCAACAAATTCGATAAAAAAATTAATGCTCTTCCCAAAAATGTCCTGCAGGTCTGCACAGAATTAGAGAAAGAAAAAGACGACGACTCCGACCCAGTAAAGAAGCAGCAATTCGAAAAGATCCTGGGTCTGATGCAAGAAATGCAAAACTGTGGACAGCCCCCCGAGGATCTAGTGGGCGAACAAACGAGTTTATTTCAATTCGATAACGATGGAAATCCAATGATTGGCCAATCCCTCCCACCGGGAGTTGATCCCCAGAACTGTAGTATAATGTAATAAAATTCATCGGCGGCATCAAATTGTACATAGCAATGTGATCGTACTCGATTGTTGTAGCCTTTCCTAGGGACCTCCATTTATCGCCAGTTATTTTTCTACGTTTACAGGAGAATTGTAATGAGCTAGTGTGCAAGCACTCGTCACACATTAAATCACACGTGTCAATTTCCTGACTTTGTTAATTGTATTTATATTTCTTCTTTTGTATTGATGAACAAAGTAATTGCCTATGAAATCCTCGTTTGCTCAGTGACTAGCATGAAATTTATTTGAACCTCCCATTCTATACAATATGATAGATTCATTAAATTCATGTAATCTAACAACAGAGCCACATGTGTAACATGTACGCATATTTAAGAATGCGATCAACACTTCATTGTTTGATCCCTCGCACGGACGAAAAAAAATTCATAGAAAAATCTAACGAATTCTATAGGAAATTATATAGGACTTCTATTGAAGAATTTCGCAGCTTTACTGTATTTTCTTATGAAAAATGTCCAACATAAACTCTTTTACAGAAAAAAATCAGTAGAATTTCATTTTTCTATACATTTTCTGTAGAAATTCCTTAACAAGAATTTTCAAAGTTTTTTACACTCTATTTTTCACTCTATTTTTCTTCTCGTTTTATTGCATAAATTAATAGAACAAATTGTATTGAAAAAGTGAATTCTATTGATTTTTCCACAGAATATTTTCCACTGAACATTTCTATCGAAGAAAAAACTAAATAAATAGAAAGTTCAATAGAATTTCCAAAAGAAATCGCAAGGTTTTTTTATGAAATTGTTTCGTACGTGTCTTCACTCAAGGAAATCGAGAGGAATTGGATTCATCTATTAATGACAATCTCATGATCACAGTCACTTGCGAGCAAGGCTGTGAGAGTCAGAATGATCATTAATGTCATGATAATCTCTTTACGATAACGGTGAGAGAGCATCAACACCAGGCAATACTTTTCCCTCCAACAATTCCAAGCTGGCACCACCTCCAGTGCTGACGTGGCTGACTTTGTCTTCGGTCTTCCATTTGGCAGCGCAAGTCGCTGTGTCACCACCACCGATGATCGTGATGGCACCACGAGTTGTTGCTTCTACCACGTTGTCCATCAGGGCTTTTGTCCCTTTGTTGAAGTTCTCGAACTCGAAGACACCCGCTGGACCGTTCCACACGATGAGCTTTGCTCGTTTGATGGGCTCTGGAATAATTGTGTGGTTCGACAAAATAAGTTTTCGACTAGAAATGGAATTACCACCTAAAAACAGTACTTTAACAGTACTTTACTAATATTAAAAGAAGTTTACTTGAAATCAATTGAAGTTCACTATTTTGTTATTAAAATTTGAAATTAATTGTTAATTATCAATTATTATTAAATAATTAATTCTAAATTTGTGAATATCATTTTTTGATTAATCAAATAATTGTCATTCTTACGAAGTCGATAACTGAAGAAAATATTTGAAAAATTGACAAATTCGATTGATGATTAATTTAATAAAAATTAAGAGATTGTTCAATACAATCAACTAATTTTGTATGCAATGAAATAATTTTAACTCTGCATTATGATTTTGTCTATCTCTGCTTGTAAAAAAAATTATTTTAGTAACAAGATTTCGAGTGAGATTTTTCATACGTTGAAGATCAAGTAGATCTATTAAAACGAAGAACTAGTGCAACAAAGTCGATTGTTTATTGTTCAATTGTCCTCCAGGCGCTTAAAATGGAAGAAAATTTCAGTGTACCCAATTTTTCAGCTGTAGAGAATTTTTTTTCGAAATTCAAATGTTATTTTGTATAATTAAGAAGACTTTTTCCGTTTTTTTTTCAATTTTCAAAATTTTTCTGGACATGTAGAAAATTACGTCCAAACATTAGATGATTTAAATAACGAAATCATAACAAAATACTTAATAATCTAGTCTTCTAGTTAATAGTCTAGTCTTCTATAAATGGAAGTTCTGAAAAAATTCTTAAATAATTGTCTCATATTGAAAATGTTGTCAGGAATCACTTCCATCGCAGAAAGTAAGTTTTCACAAGAAGGGAATGTCGTTGAAAAAAAATGACATATTGCAAAATGGAATTTAGAGGACGTTGAACAATTATAAGTCTTTGAATTGTCTTATTAGCGAAATAACAGGAGAGAGGCAGATTGAATGAAAATATAATTACCAGCGAAAAGTTCCCTTGATTTGGGTCCAACATCGAGACCCATCCAGCCATCAGGTATTCCAGATTCAATATCAGCAGCACCTACAGCCGCATCCTCAGCGAATTTATCAGCAGTGACGAAGTCAACAGGCAAATGAATCTGAACATTGTTCTTCTTCGCCTTCTCCAGAAGGTCATTCACAATTTTCGAGCCTTCTTCGTCAAATAGGGAGTTGCCAATCTGAGAATTTAATTCGTTCAGTCAATGTTAACATCAAAAATAGAGGAGAATTTATTATGATCCATTTATTATTTAGAATGAATGTATTGTAATCAATTTATCATTTAGAATTAATTTATTATAATCAATTTATTATTTAGAATGCATTCATTTATTATGAACAATTACCTTCATTCCCTTGGTAACTTTCAGAAAAGTGTACGCCATACCGCCCCCAATAATCATCTCATTAACTTTATCCAACAAGTTATTGATCAACTGAATCTTATCAGCGACCTTGGCACCCCCAAGAATAGCGAGGAATGGTTTCTCAGGGTTATCCAAAGCCTTGGCGAAGTAATCAAGCTCCTTCTTCATGAGGAATCCACTAGCTCTGACGTCGAATCCATCTCCCATCATCGAACTGTGCGCACGGTGGGCTGTTCCGAAGGCATCATTCACGTAAACATCACCGAGCTTCCTCAGGGCAGCACGAAACTCTTCGACTTTAGCTTTGTCAGCCTTCACCTATAATTTAGTTGGGAAGTTCTGTCAATGTCCCTGTTGTTGGATCTAATAAATACATTCTCTGAATAACGAAAAACGACGAATCACTTCAACATACGAAATCGTTACGTCAGAGTATTTTTTTAACATTCACAGGTTCCATTCTTTCATAAAAGAGACTCAATAAATTATTATGCATCACTTTCTGCCACTTAAACCATTTAAAGAAAGTAAATGCCTTTTCTTTAATATTTTTCAACTTAATTATTTAATATAAAAAGTAAATGTGTTTTCTTTAATATTTATACGTAATAAATGATTGAGGTTTTCATGAAAACCCAGATGCTTCCATTCTTCCATTCTATATTCCGTTTTTCATTCTCAGAGAATGCAATATCAAATATCTATGTCATTCCAGTTTTAGAAATACGAATGAGTAAATAATATTGAGTCGGCCAACATAATCCTCACAAAATAACTGTTTCGAATAATATTTCATGATGATTAACTATTGAAAATTTTGTTTCTAATTGTTTTTAATGTGGACATACTCAGCTCTGGACAGAGAAATGTATTTAATAGAAAAGTTGAATGCTTTCTCTGAGAAATTGTAGTGGAGCTCTATGAGAATTCCATTAAAAAATTTGTTTTTTTTTGCGCTAGTTCTGTGGAGAACTATCCAACGTTTTTCAAAATAAAGGAAGTCTATAAATTGATGTTTTCGAAAAAAATGCACTTATTCCAGTTTACCAATTCACCGAGAATTTTGACAATTGTTTTTCTTGTATTTTATTACGAAAAACACGTGAAAATACAGCTGAAAAAAATTGGAAAATTTATGTTCAGTAATTTTACAGAAAAATCAAAGTCTATTGGCCTTTTTCAGTCAAATATCGATCGAAAAAAGATACAATCGCATAAACTTGAATAAAATTGACGCAAAAAACAGCAGAATTTTCCCTCAACTGTAACAAAATTCTTGTGGAGTCCAAATAAAAATTCTATAAAATTTCTTGAGAAAATAGTTCGGTTTTTAATGAAATATTTTCATAGTGCAATTAAAAAGTGTATTTCATCACCCGATAAAACCCCACAAAACTCCACGAAACAAAAAGCATTTTTAACGTCCCATAAAGTGATGATGGTGTGATGTGTCCTCACCTTGCTGCCATCAGGTCCAACCCCCTTCCCCTCCTCCTCCACGTGGAACCTCATGTTCTCCAACAGAATGATGGAGCCAGGCGCTGGGTCAGCGCAGGCAGCTTCCACAGCAGGGCCAACACAATCATCCAGGAAAATAATCTCCTGCTTGAGGAGATTCTTCAGCTCATCTGCCACAGGCTTCATCGTGTACTTCAGGTTCCTGTTGCCATCCGGTCGTCCCAAGTGGGACATTATGATAATGGCTTTAGCTTTCTTCTCCAAGGCATACTTGATCGTGTCCAGGGAAGCCACAATTCTTTGATTATTGGTTATCTTTCCATCCTTCATGGGGACATTGAAGTCGAGTCTGAAGATTTAAAACGCTTAGAAAATTAGACTTCTCATCTCATGTGGACATATCTGTTATCATCATGCATTCATTTTAATTCAATTTGATTTAGGTTCCCGGATTTTTTTCCCCGTGAAAAATGCTCCGGCGAAAAATCCCCGAAAAGTTCCTATATCCCCAGGAAAAAAAAGCCATGTAAAATTTCCCCGATTCACTTTTATTTAATGTAACATCCACTACTTTATAGAAGTCAACAATTTCGGAACATCATGAATAATTCATAATAATCCTTTTCATCAAAATAGGATTCAATTCTTAAAATAAAACATCTACAACCCGACAAAATTACTAATATTTCGACAAGCTAAAGTTATTAATTTTCAATATAATCAGCAACATAGAAATGATATTTTCGTATGAATACAAATCAACTTATCAAATGAAACATCTACAACAAAACAAGATTAACCACATTTTGAAGAAAACCCAGCAAACGGTATGTCTAAAATTTGTCGACAAATTGCCGATGTCCTGTTAAATTTCAGATGGAACTGGCAAAAATTGTTTTCTAGGAATTATCAATTAAACAGTCGCGAATGAAAGAAAAAAACCATTCTTGTCATTAATTTCTTTCATTTTTCTTCTTCTGAGAGAAAAAAAATTTAATTAGCATTTTCTGAAGAAAAACTTCAAAAAAATCCCACATAAAAAAAATTCCTCAGGAAAATTAATCTCAATGAGAACAATTCGCCGAGAAAGGATTGGCGGGGCAAAAAATTCCGGGAATTTTCAGTTTTTCAGGAATATTTCCGAATCTAAGGGAGATAGCGAAATTTTCGTGATTACATTTGTTGTAGCTCTCAATCGGCTCTACAAAAAAGGTTATCATAAAAATTTTGCCATCTCCCTTAGATTCCGAGATATTCATTAAAAACTGGCTAATAGTCAAAATTAACTTGTACCGGTTTACCACTTCGTTACTGAATTGTGAACGAAATTCATTCAAGAATGGGGCAAAATGGACACTTGCTGTTTTATCAATATTCGTAACTCAGAAACAAATTCATCAATTGAGCTCAGTCCAGGCTCATCTAAAAAAATCTCCCATTTGATTGACAATTCATATACACTATTGACAAACACTATTGTCAAAAACAGTAAAAAGTGTCCATTTTGCCCCACACGCCCCTATATCCACGTTATTTACATCGTCATGCATTGATAATTCTTTCAATAGGTAAATATTTTTGGAATAAATCAATAGGGCACCTCATCAAGATCCTCTTGCCGGTAACGTCCACCTTGTCGATGCTGAGTTTGTTCAACACCATGTTTCCTCTTTTCACTGAACTTGACGAGAATAAATTGATTCTCTTCGACAGATACTGCACTGGGGCAACAAACAAATGTGAGTTTGTTACGTGGCGAGTGAGACTGTTGGTAATCCAGAACAGGGTTCTCTTAGGGGTGTTGTACAAGATCACGTACAAAACTGTGCCTTTGCAATGTCATATGAAGGGCGGCGACACTGGCGCCCTCAACTCTACTGTGCCACATCGGTGACCTTGGGTTTCCCTGTGTGGCTATGTGTTGAAGTCACGTTCATTGAAATGTGATAATAGTGAACCCAGCGAGTGTGAATACTCTTCTCTCACCACAATAATCCCATTTTACTAAAGATGAAAGAAACATGAAGTTGTTTTATATCGAAATATCTCGAAACAGCCTGACTGCTAATCCTCAAGCTGGGGAGCGATTTTGCTCGTTTTATGTCGACATAAAGTCGTAAATTTCAACCAATGACAGTCCTGGATTCGGAATACTCAATTAGGATTGGTTGAAATTTATGATTTTATGTCGACACAAACCAGCAAAATCGCTCCCCAGTTAATGAAGTAGTTCACGTGAAGTAGACGCTGAAAAAAATCCCCGGTATTTTCAAATTCTTCAAATGCCAAAAAAAATTTCTGCGTCATTTTTTTCATTTTTTCATGTGTGAAGTTGATCTTTATATCACAACATATCTACATTGTCTAATTGTTGATCATAAGAAAAAAAAAACATAGTATTTCTAAATTTTTTTAACTCACAAATGATTCTTCACTTCCCAAATTTTAATTTTTTCATATTTATCATACGCCAAAATGATCAATTCTTGCTTCTCAGAATTTTAGAACTTATGGATAGCGAGAAATTAAATAAACAAAATCAGTCTTATACACGGCCTCTTATGGAGTTTTGATTAAATTGAACGTTTCAACCCCCTAGGAACTCAAGAAAAATTTGAAAAAATTTGAAGATATGGGGAATGATGTGTTCAATGTGATGGCGACAAAAAACAATGGGGTACCGGGGTGAATAAGAGAGATATTTCAACTAGCCGTAACCATTTGATCCCATGCTTTCTCGAGGTTCGTCACGCGAAATAGAGGATTTTCCGCATTTATTTTCTCGATGTCTAGTTCCGGTTGCGGGTTTGAAATTTCGTCGGATGGATGAATACATATTTCTCCAATGATGGAGGGAAAGAAAAAATTTTTTTGAATCTTTTTTCAAATTCACTTGGCACCCTTAAATTGTTGAAATTATGTTTTTCCATAAAATCGGTGAAAAAACTAATCGCATTTTCAATAGAATCGCAAGAGAATTTTTTACCGAATTTTTCATACTTGTTCTCCTGTGTCTCGGGACCCGAAGCAACCCGAGGAGAACGCATTCGCTGGGACGACTTTATTTACAGTTCGTTCACACGTTGTGTTTGAATGCGTGGTCTGTAGTTGCCGAGGGAACTATCAGCTGATCCCAGTATATGCATGCTGACAACAATGACCGATGGTATGGAGCACTAGAAGTTTTTAAATGCTCCAAAATAGTCATTCGAGTTGAAATGATGTTGAATGTTAATTGTGAGAGGGAACGGTTGAGTGATACCTTTTCCCCGAGTGGAGATAATTTTCGGGGGAATGTGTGTGTCGAAACTAGAGTGAATAATGCAAATAATACTCGACAATTGAATTACAAGAATGTTGGGAGTAGTGTGGAGAGACCCTTCGTGTGTCTGGAATGTGATATGAGTTTTGAGCGAGCCTCTCAGCTCGACTACCACCAGCGGAGTGTCCACCTGGGTGAGAAGACTCAGATATGCCAGATCTGTGGGAAACGGTTCTTCAGAAAGGCTGATTTGAATACTCATCTGAATATACACCTGGGGACCAATCAATCTGTTTGTAATATTTGCGGGCGGAAGTTCAATCATGTGTCAAATTTAATTAGACACTCTAGAGTTCATGCAGGTAATGATTGATGATAATTTACGTAAAGAAACGTATGAACAAATTTAATGGAAAAATCTAGAAGCTCTAGAATTCTAATGCTTGAATCTTCCGAGTTGTTAAAAAATTTTATGAGGAGAAAGAAATGAAAATACGGCAATTACATTAAATTTCTATAGAATAATCAAAATGTTTTTACTTTTTTAGATTAGATTAGATTATATTATATTATATTAATTTATTTTATTGTTTTCTTTCCAATTTTTCTGTGCGGTTAGATTAAATTAAATTTATTGGATTCTAATCCCATTGTAGTATACAAATGGTGGGAACAGTTTTTCTCGTTTTCAAATGAAGAGATATTTATGTTAAATAATAAGGAGAGTATTGATACTTTTTTTGGGATGATGATCTATGTATTTTTCACAATTACATCATTGTTCAAAAAATTTTTTATGTAGTACATTTTTCATATAACTATTCCCATCGTTTTCATTTTTTATGCTACCTCCTTCATTTTTTTAGATGCCGAAAAAATATCAATATGTTCCCTTTCTATGATCTAATTTCAATGGAAGAAAATGAAAAAAAACAGAGATACGTGATCAGCAAGAAAATAAAAATTTCGATTTTTCAATATCTCCGGAAAGTTTTAATATTTATATATTTTTTCAAATAATGAAAGAATACACATCAATTCAATTTCTACCCTCACATTTTGATAGAATGCATTAAAAAAATAGCAAAGAATAAAAATCGGAGACGAAAAATTTTATCGGATTAATATAGTGTAATCTTAACAAAATGACACGATAAAGTTGCATAATCTTCTATAGAATTGACGCAAAAAACGAATTGCATTTTTTAATAGAATCCTCTTATTCTATACAACTTATTCTACTGATGTATTTTCTGTAGGAATTCCTCGGCTGAAATATTCCAACATTTTTTTTTCTTTTTTCCAATAAAGAGACAAGAAATACAGTAGAGAAAATTTGGAAAATTCATCTAGAGGAATTCCTGTAGAAAAAGTTGTATAGAAATAAAATTCAACTCATTTTTTCTATAAAATATGTTCTGTGGAACATTTTCTACGAAAAATCAGCCGAAACCTAGTAGATTTTTAATACAAGTTCAATGGGAATCCAATAGAATGTTCTATCGAGTTGATTAGGTTTTTTTACGCGATTTTTTCGTTCTTCGATCATTCATGGTGGACTACTCTTTTTTTTATTTGATTTATTCATCTCTTTGGTGTTACAAATGTTTTTCTTTGTTTTACACTTGTGTAGTCCTCCTCTCCTCAATAATTAGTTAACATCAGTTATATAAGATTTCTTCTATGTTCATATTCCTATCATCCTTCATTTTGACTCTGCTCTCAATTAGTTAAGATCTAATATCACTGTTAGTCCTCACTTATTTGTTGCTTTTCTCATTATTGCGCTATCACCCCCTTCTCCCTTGTGGTGGACTATTCATTTTCTTTCGATCCCTAACTTATAGAATTTTTGTCGCAGGAATGAAGCCATACCCGTGCTCAATATGTGGCAAAAGATTTACCCAGATAAGCTCAGTAGTCAGGCACAAACGGATTCATGAAAAAAAATCGAATAGTGTCACTGGAAAAGATGAGGATACTGGAGTGAGGAAATTGATAAAGCGTAGACATTATTGCAAAATATGTGGGGATACTTTTCCCTTCATCGTTCTCCTGCGACAGCATGAGAGAAGGCATTTTGGAGCTGACGGAAGCGTCGAGTGCGAACGATGCAAACTGGTATTTATTTGGAATTATTATATTTCGTATGTCATATTGTCTGTATTGCCCTTTAACTTACTTCCTCGACACCAACTATGGAGATGAATAATAAATTCGTTAATAGTTTCTATTAGATATTTTCTATTTTAAAAAAGTGCAGTAAAGCCACGGAATTCTGCAATAGAATCGGTTAAAAACTAATAAAATTTTCAATCAAAGTTCATAATAACAATCTGATGAAATTGTCTACCAAATTCGTGAGTTTAAGCTCCGACTCAAAACTCCACGAGAGCAGTTTTAATGAGGTTAAAAAATATTTCTAATGAATACTGTTGATACATTGAGTAATTAATCTGTGGAATATTCCATGGATCTTCCTTGTAATATAACGGTTGGAAATTAATTTTGGATTGTGGATTATTAGGGAAAAGGGTGGAATGGGCCGAATCTCCCAAGACCCTTCTACGGATGAAAAAATTTAATAGAAAAACCTAGCGAATTCGTTAGAAAATTGTATTGAATTTCTATTGAACTTTCTATTAGTTTTTGGCCGATTCTATTGAAATATTCAATAGAACAAGTCAATAGAATTCAATTTTTCTATATAACTTATGGCCGTGAGTATTCGCACCATTGCGTGAATCACTCCCGTACACTCAATACACTCCACGCATGCGTGAAGTTTGTGTGTTTCACGCAGCCGAATTTTCATACTACTGTGTATTTCACGCAGTTGAAGTTTCATACTACTGTGTGTTTCACGCAGTTGAAGTTTCATAC